GAGGAAGCCGGCAGGGGGAGCAGAGGAGTAGGCGCCAGCGTGGTGAAGAGGTGCAGTGCCTTATGCATGATACACACATTTTTCTTATTGCGAATAACCATGTGTCAGAGTGCAGTTCTCAGCCTGGAGAACGGAAAATGGAAAAGACCAGAAATTCAGAGAAGGCAACTTACCCAAGGTCTCCCAGCCCTTTAAGGCCAAGTAGAGCCTCCTAGGCATTTCCTGCCACACTCACCCAGGCCCACCCCCACCTCTGTTGCAATGGAGGGCCCCACTATAGTGCCCAGGAGAACAGGTCTAGGGCACAGTGCCGGCCTGATGAATGTCCTTCATACCGTTTTCAAGCAACAGGTTATGATTAGGCCTAATTATGGGGCCTGGTCCCTTAATATTCTGCCGGGCATGTCTCTTGTCAGTCAAATCAGTACCATCTGCAGTGTGATTCCTGCTTTAGTGGCATCGGGGGGAGGAATTTAATTCAACCCAATGTAAAGAGATTCTGCCCTCACCTTGCAATTCGAGGATTTGTCCCTCCTGTCCTGCACCCCTACATGCACCTCCTTCCTTCTGGCTCCCTAAGCTCTAGCCTGGGTGAGCAGCACCTGGATACTCCTGTAGCTTGAGTCACTAGCCACTGCCCAGTCTGTCTTGAACACAGGCCTCAACTTCCTCAGGGTTAAAGTAGGAGGAACAAATGTGTGCACATTTGCTTTTCCAACCTGGGCACCTTTTGGCAGTTGATTCGGGCAATTCTCTCACCAGCACCACCCTGCCCCTGTATCCCTGTTTCCAGCCTGCTTTCCTCTGCAGCCAGGGCTCCTTTCCTGTGTTTCCAAGTTGGAGAGCGGAACTGAGATCACGTATGGACAGGGTGCCTGCCTGGCAGGTACCAAGCACCTTAGTACCAATTCCCCAGTCCTTGGTCTTGCCATCTCCCTCCCTCATTCATTTAGCAGGCATCAGCGGAATCCCATCTCCTATGAGCTCCTGGCCTCCCGTCAAATGCTTTGCTGCCACCCACCCCCACCTGATCAGAGGGCCACCCCCTGTACTGGGCAGCCCTCCCTCCAGTCCCTGCGACGCAACCTCTGGGAGCAGCCCCTTTGGGGATTCCTGTTCCTGGAGGACCCAGCCGGCTTCCCTGGGTGGAAAGGGACAAGGGGAGAGCCCAGCTTGGAAGCTTTCGCTCCTGACAGCCAGAGAGCTCACTCCCTTCTGCCCCGCCTAGCCTCCGGATTTCCTGTGGTGGTTCTGGTCTCCCAGTCACGCTCCTCCTCCCACGAGGGTGGGGGGGTGTGAGGGTGCTGGGGGGGGAGGGGTTCGTCCTTCACTCTTTCCTGCAGTCAGAAAATACGTACCCAACAGTACCTGTGTGCAAGGCAGTGTGCAATCACTATAGATGCAGTGATGAACAAGGCAGCGTCCCTGTCCAACTGGTGTATACCCTCTAGCAGGAGAGACAGACCTAAATAACCAATTAATGATCAGTTATGTAATTACAGTTGTGATAAGGCCTATTTATAGTATTCTGCAATCACTAATCTTCATTTATCATGGAGCGTGCTCCACCGTTGATCTGACTGCATTAACTCATTTAACCCTTGCCACATTTTATGAGCAGGCACTGCTGTTACCCATTTTATAGATGAGGAAACTGAGGCACAGAAAGAGATCTGGCCAAGTGGCAGAGCCAGGGTTCAAAGCCAGGGATCTTGGCCCTGGGTTCTGTGGGTTATTACCGCCTCTGTGGAGGGGAGATGAGGTGCAGCGAGGCTTGTCATGGGGAGCCTGGCTTGGTCTCAGGGATCAGGGAAGGCGGATGTAAGGAAATAGCATTTGTGGTAAAATCTGGGTAGGTCAGGAAGAACATTCCAGAAAGAAGGAAGCCCATGAGCTACAGCCCTGAGGTGGAGGACCTGAAAGGAGGCCAGTGTCGCTGGAGCGCAGAGAGGCCGTTGAGGGAGCGGAGCGGGAGGGCTGAGGCCTGTTGTATCGGCAGCACTGACCCCACACAGTCCTTGGGCTCTAGCGACTTTTCAGTGTTTACCTAACTCAAATGAGTGAACGGCGTTTGCTGTTTCCTGCAAAGGTCCCAGGGGTTGTTGGGTACACAGGTCCCGTGTTTGGCCATAAGCAACCTGAAGTGAGGCTTGGTCTCCTTCCCTGGAGCCCAGGCTGTGCCTCACGTGGGGTACCCCAGCGTGAAGTATGACTGCCTGACTCAGGTCCCTCTCCTAGTCCAAGTCACCCCTACCCAGCCCCATCCCTTATTGTTGGAAGACCTGGAGTCACTGCTGCTTCACTGTGCAGGCTCCTCTTCTGTCACCAACTGTCGTCAGGAGGTGACAGGGATGAGGCTGCAGTCAGGACTTGCAGGCAGAGAGGGCTGGGTGAGACAAAACGACAGGACATGGTGACAGACTGGGAACGAGAACGAAGGAAAGGGAGGAGTCAGTGATGACTGGAGTAAGGTGGGAGCACTGACACCGCTCCCCCTCCACTTGCCCCCATCCTGCAGTAATGGACAAGCATGTGGGCTTTTCCTTTTCTGTGGGGATGTGACCAACTTAGAACCTCCCCCGCTTAGACGTGCTCCTGTTTGGAAATCTCCTGCACCGAAGAGACAGGTGGACAGACCTTCCTCCTTGCCCCTTGTCCTCACTTCTTCCATCCTTCTCTCCCATCCTCTCTACTGATTGGCATCTGGTGGCCCCCAAGGTTACACAGTACTGGATCAGCAGCCTGCGTAATTAGCAAATCATTCTTAATTGCCCCAGAGTGGAGAGAATAAAGGTGAAGGCAAGAGCCCAGGTTCAGGATCTGCTTCTTTGGGTTTATGGCAGAGGCGAGGGAAGCAGCAGTGAATCTGGGTCAGGAGTGGGTGCTCCCTGCTCCCTCCTCCCCAGTAGCTTGTAGGCCAGCTGCTGGTCTGACTCCGAAATCCACCATCCCTCAGCCACCCGGCCCTCTCAGGAGAAGCTGAAGTCCTTTCCTGTGTATGAGCACCAAGCTGGAGCCTGAGGGTGACGTGGAGGGAGGGGCTCAGGGGTCTCCCCAGGTCTCCACGCTGCTCGTCAACACCACAGAGATCCTGTATGGCAGAAAATGGAGTCGCGGGGTGTGGGTGCAAGACCCAGCCTGACTTAATGGAGTCCCAGGGCATCACACTCAGGTGCAGTACAGAGGCGGGAGCCAGAAGGTGAGCGGGTGGCTTGGCTTGGTGGCCTGGGACCCCTCACTGCACAGTGTCCCTGATGACGTGGGACAGGTAGGTCAGGAACATGGTCTCGGGACAGCAGATGCCAGGCTCCACGTCGGCCCTGGAGATACAAGAAGTCTGTCTTCCTGGACCAATTGGCTGGTGCTGTAACAAAGACCCGTGTGATGCTGGGGGCAGAGATGGAGGAGAAACTGTTCAGTGTCCCTTGTCCATCAATAAGAGAGCAGCTGGAGCAGCAGGTGGAGAGGGAGGGGGCAGGGATGGAGGCAGGTGCAGGAGCTGGAGGGCCTGCCAGACTGTTCTCCAGGAGAGGCTCTATTGAACCCCTTATGCCACCACAGCTGTGCAGGGTGCACCTGAGGCTTCACTAGCTGCTCCTGTAGGTCCCTGTCATCTCTCACATGTCCCCACCTAATCCTGCAGGTCCCGTCCCAGAGAACTACTACACGCCAGACCTCGGCCAAGTGCCCAAGGTCAATGTGCCATCCTACCTACTTGACCTGCCTGGCGGACGTCATGTATGGTGCCAGCCTGGGCCCCAGCATCACCCACTCTGCCCCTGGCAACAGGCTCAACCCTCTCAAGCCAAGTGAGCTGGGTGCTAGGACAGGAGCCAGGCTCCCTGCTCAGTCACCTCCTTCCCTAGGAACCCCACACTTCCTCCCATTTCCATTTCTGACCTGTAAGATGGCACGCTAACAGCACCCCAATCTCCCCAAGCTGCTGCGGTGCTGGTCAGCGCACCCTCATCCCCGCCCCAGGCCCTGGCCACTGCAGTCCAAGGCGCCAGGCAAAATGACAGCAGCAGCATCCTCTTCAGGTGGGAGCAGCTGAGGCCACCTCAGTCTCATTTCTGGACCCTGGTGGATTTTCTGTGGGGCTGTTGTCAAAAATCCCTTATTTTTTTTAAATAATTCTCATTTCGTGTTCTACTTGGCTCATAAAATAGTGGTTTTCAAACGGTAGAGCCCTGGAATGCTCACCTCTATGGGAGAGGGAGCCTGGACAAGTCTGGCCCCGGGGCCCTCATTCTTAAACCAAAGAGAAAAGAGGGTCTAATAAACAAAAACACTACAGGGGCAGGAACACGGAGCTGGGGGTTGAATGTGACTGAACCCCACACCCCCCTCTGTGACCTTCCTGTTGCAGTGAGAGCCATAAGCCAAAGTAGGGAGCTGATGTGGGATCTCAACAAGCTGGTTCTGAGATGCAAGGGTGGGAGGCAGGGCTGCTGTCTGCCGTGGGCTGGGGCATCATTAATCCCCTCTTGCCTTTTTCCTCCTGTGTTTAAGTCTCTGGGGCATGGGGGAACCAGCACTCCCCACAGACTTCCCTCACTCAGCCTTTGCCCTCCAGCCTTTTCACCTCTGGGGCTGGTGAGGGGCTGGGAGGAGCGAGCCCCTATGTCAGACGACAAACCGTCTCTGCCAACCCCCAGCAGCCAGACAGAGGAAGAAGAGGACAACTGGAAATCCGAGGGGGATGTGCCATGCCTTCCTCCCCTAAACCCAGACTCTGGCCGTGGCCTGGACGTGGACACAGCCAGAATGGGCTCCTCAGCCCTGCTGCCCTGGAAGGGGCGGGGATGGAGCTGGCCCAGGTCTGTGTGGGGACCACCTTCAAGGAGTGGGAGGCTGGCTTGAGGCCACGTGGCTGGGGCGGGGGCTTCTGTCTGTCTGTGCTTCGTCCGGGGATGGCTCCACCCAGCCCCTGCACCAGTGCGCTCTTCAATTCCCTAAAGAGGCTTCCAGAGAAAAAGGAGCACAAATCAATACAAAACTCAGCAGAAACCAACAGTACACTTTTAATTAAGGACCTGTAGCTGTGCAGGATGCAAACATCTGGGCATCAGTGACTTTCCTCTGGCCCCTGTTGGTCCCTAATGGCGGCAGAAGATCCCAGCTGCCCACGGCCCCTTTCTCTGGGGTCAGAGGGAGAAGACAGGCGCAGTCAGCAGTGGCAGCTGTTGCAGGTGGGAGGGATATTTTCCCACAGGAAAAAAGGTCTCCGTGATGACACGGGGTCTCTATAGTCATGTTGACAGCCTAATGGCCCTTGGCATAATTGATGGTGTGGGGTAGAAGGTGTCTTGGAGTTTAAGTGGTTGAGAGGGAAGGAGGTGCCACAGACGTGGAGGAAATGGTGCGAAGCCAGGGAGACACAAATCCAGGCAGGGCTGTGGGACGGGTTAGAGAGCAGGGCTGCAGGTGTGACTCAGGAAGGAGGGGCAGGTGACAAGCCCCTGGGAAGGAGCCCTGTGGCCATGGGATCATTTTAAATTGAGACTAGAGAAGGAGGGGAAGGTGACAAGCCCTGGGCAGGAACCCTGCGGCCATGGGATCATTTTAAATTGAGACCAGAGGATGAGCAGTCCAGGGCAGTTAACCTTGACTAGAAAGGGCAGAGGCAAACAGGCCTGCTCTATCTCAACTCTTAAGAAGGTGGGCAGGATGGAGATGCCACAGTGGATGCCACAGTGGATGCCACAGTTGCCACAGCCTCCTGTGGAGACCAGGCAGGAAGCCTGCTCTCAGCCATGCAGGATGGAAAGGAAGATTCTGTGCCAGGAGGGGAGCTGCCCTGGAATGCCCCAAGGCCAGCCAGGACCCACTGTTTCTTCAGGATTCCCCCATTTTCTCCTATAGGAGCTAATGCCTGTGCCTGGGCACTGGCAGCACTCTGGACTCCACACTCTCCTCCTGGGTTTCACTCTTGTAACAGGATCCCTGTAGACCAGGTCCACGACAAATACTGTCCTCAGCGGGCAGGGCAAAGGAAGGGCGCGGCGCCAGGCGGTGGTGCGGCCGCCCATCAGGAAGAGGCCGACTTCTCCCGGTGAAACTGGGCAGACAGAAGGCAGTGAGAAAAGAGATCTCGGGGTGGGGAGGCTCTCAGAAAGAAAAAGGTGGGACTGACCTTCTGCACAGCAGCAATGGCAGGGCCAAAGGTAGCTTTAACCTCCACACGGGCTCGGATCCAGGCCGGCAGCTTGGCCAGGACAGGGGGCCGGGCGTATCGCTGGTCCAGGAGCACTATGCTGGCAAAATCCTTCTGGTGCCTGATGGCCCTGCCTGCACAGAACAGAGGCTGGGGCTCTGAGTAACACCTGCCTCCCCCACAGCACATTCCCATGGTGTCTCCCTCCCCTTCCTCAGACTTATTTAGGAGACAGAGCAGGCAACCCTCCTTTCCTGTTCTCCCCTTCTCTAGCTCCCATCTGTCCACCCAGCCGGAGGCAGCCGGGCTCACCTATGGACTGGTTGACGGCCTTCATGCATAGGTTCTCCACCAGATTCTTCCCTGGGGGCGCCTGGCCTGGGGCTCTGGGCTGGGGGTGGAGGGGATGACTCATCAGGACTGTTTCCTGCCTGCAGCTCTCCCTGGGAAAAGACCCTGCCAGGCTTTGGAGCCAGACCAGGAGGCTTTGTGGCCAACGCCAGCAACACGGGCCCAGGTGACATCACAGAGAAGATCAAGAGGGTGTGGAGGGGCATCCAAGCCTCCGGAGGGGGCAGGAGACGCCAGCACAGTGGGGAAGGCCCGGCTGTATCAGCCCTAAGGACAACGCCACTCCCACCCACTGCCCACTCTCCTCTCCCGCTCTGCGACACTGGGGTCACTCACGAGGGTCTGATCCAAGTAGGCCATCTTCTCCTGCAGCTCTGGAGACCTGATGTTGGGGAAGGGCATGCCCACCATCACCACACACCTGGGGGGAGGCAGGAGCCCAGGGCAGGTGGATGTCAGGACCTCCCGGGTCATCACCCACATCTCACCAGCTGCTCTGTTCTACCCCTTCCTCAGCCCTCTCCGACTGTGATCAAAGCTTTGACCCTCCCTGCTCTGTACCCACCACCTGGAGAGAGCTGGTTCAGCTGAGAGATCCCATCTAGGCCAATGGATCGGGTACTGATGCCGCAGTGGCCAGCCTGATTTTCCACCTGCTCTCCCAGGGCCACACCCAGAAATGCTGAGCCCCTGCCTCCAGCTGGCTGGTCTGAGCAGTCGCAGCCCAGCTGTGGGCTCTAATGGCAGCAGACACAGGCAGGGGCCCAGCTGCTGGGAGTGAGGGCCGGCCATGTATCATAGCCCAGGACAGGAGCAGAACCACTACTCACCGGCCTAGGTTGTCAGAGAAGTTGATCCCTTCACTCATCTTTCCTCCAACAACAGAGAGGAGAAGGGCCCCCGTCACCCCGCCTCTCTCCTGGCCACAGGCCTGCGGGAGACACCCAGATGCTGAGTTCCCGAGCCAAAGCCTGGATGTCACCCACGTTTCCAGCTGCCACCCCCGCACAGTCCCAGACCCAAGCTCAGCATTAACGCCCGCACCTGAATGCACCTGGAATACGCCAGCAGCACCTGCTCCACCTGGTGCGCGCTCTTAGGTTCCTGGAATATCTGAGAAAGACAGAGGACATCTCCCAGAGACAGGTTCAGGGTGCCAGGTCTCGGTTCTGTTGGTGGCCTTGTTTTCTGGCCAGGGGACGGAGAACCTCACAGCCAGGGCCTTTGGGGAAATCCTCTGCAATCAGGGACTGGGAGCAGCGGGGATGAGGAGCCAGAAGCCTGTCCTGACTCGATGGGCACAAGGGCTCCCAGGAGGACTCAGTGGCACTGTCCTCAGGAGTGGGAGGGCTGGCGGACAGGCCACTCACCTTCTTCCTGGCAGCCAGGCGGCCCAGCAGGCCACCCTTCTCCCAGTGGGCATGGACCTGGCGCAGGTACTCGTAGGAGGGGAAGAAACAGACCACCCCTCCAGGAACCACACTGCACAGGTTACAGAGGATGCGACCCGCCTCGTCCATCTAACAAAGCAAGAGAGGAAGCCCCCATGGAGCCACGTCTCAGTCACCCACAAACCATCTTAACCTGAGACCTAAAACTGAGGAGAGACCCACGGCAGGACTACAGCCAAGGAAGAGGACTTGGCTCCCCTGGGTGGGAACCACAGGGTGGTAGGTGCCGCCTCCCACCAAACACACCCAGCCGCTGCTGCGCACTGTGCCTTTCTGACACACGTCACAGCACTAGTGTCCCTGGGGGCCTTCCTACTGCTCTGGCACTGAGTCCTCCCGTCTTCACTCCAGGGTCCTGATGGGCACCACAATGACAATCAGGGGCTGCACGTCCCAGGCACACCCCAGGAGATGCCCCCCAAGCCCCGCATCCCTGCCACCGGCAGGAGCAGATATAACCAAAGGGCAAGAGAGTCAAAGGGAACCAGCAGCTTTCCTCTGCGTGAGGCATCCTCAGGGGATGCCTGGAGGTTTTAAGAATATGTACTTCGCAGCCTAAGGGGTGAGGGGCGGGGAAGCTCAGACCTTCCTCTATAAGCATCTAGATCGATGCCGCTCATTCTGTGAGGCTCTATAGTGGGTGCCCCCTTTCCCCCCAGCCCCATGCAATTTCCCCAACACCTGAAAACACTCAGGGTGGGCCAGAGTGCCCCTGCCCCGGAAAACCCTTTGCTGCCTGAGCCCAGGCTGTGGCACAGTGAGCCGGCTGGGACTGACCATCTGAGGCAGCTCTCTTTTCTGGAACGTGAACTCCAGCGGCTGGTTGGAGATCCCGCTGCAGATGACAAGGGGCAGGATATTGTCTGGAGGGATCACGTGACCTGGTAAGAGCCAGGGAGGGGCCGAAAACTGGAGATGCAGGGGTGCTGAGACACAGTGCAGAAAGGGCATTTCCCCGCCCCATCTTCCAGCACAGGAGCAGCGACTGACAGCGCTCACCCACCCACCATCGCCAGACACACTGGGCAGCAGGCAGCAGGGAGCAGAGCAGGAGAGCCTGGGCGAGCGCACAAAGGGCAAGGTTCCCATCCCGGGGTCTCCTCCGCCCCTGTGCCTTGTTGCAGTAAGAGGTTACACGCAGAAAACAGGGGCCAGAACCTGACCTCTAGCCTGCCCCACCCTGGGCACAGCTCCTCACCACAGGAAAACTCCACCACGCGTTCAGCTTCCACCCCGGCACAGGCCAGCAGCTGCTGCCGGAAGTCAGACACCTGCAGACCAAGGCCACAGCGTCACGGCCCCGTGGCCCCTCAGAGGCCCGGTAGAAAGGAAGCGAGAAGTCTGGGCTAAGAGACAGCAAGTACACACACACTGAAAGAAGAGGTCAAAGAAAAGGCTGACGGCAAACTAACAAAAAGAAAAATGGTGACTGATACCCAGCGCTGACAGCCTCGTTTAAACTACGTGCAGGAACAGCAAAGGAAATCCAGCAAATCTGGCACAGTCACTCTCAACCCTGGCCATGCAGCAAAATTACAGTGAAAATTTTCAAAAATACACGTGGCCAGGTCCCAGCTCAAACTACTGAATAAGAATCTCCAGGCTTTCACCTGTTAAGATAGGCAAAATCCAAAAGTAACCACTCTGTAGAGAAACAAGCATTCCTAGATGTTACTGGTGGCATACAGAATGTCCAATTCTTATGAAGAGGAATTTCACAGTAGTTAACAAATTAAATGTATTTATACTTTTAAACCCAGGATCTCATATTTAGGAGTTGACTGAAAATATACAGCCATAAATACCAAACAGCATGTGCCCTGGGCCTTTCCCTGTAAACGTGCACCTGCCTCTCCAGAGAGGACTGGTTGAATGAGCTCCCTACATCTGCCGGACGGAGAACCACGCAGTCCACTAGAGGAGCAATGGCCGGGACAACTGACTGAGATGCCTTCTATGTAAATAAAACAGGAAAGGGAAAAATGAAGACACATTTTTGCTTATCTGGGGGAAAAAGAAAGACCGCAAGGACAGGCTAGTAAAACTGACTCCCTATGGGGGTGGGGAATGGGCTGGAGAAGGAGGAGAGTGAGGCTTTCCTGAATAGATCTTTTTATATTAGCTTTGACTTTTGAACCATACAAATATTTACATATTTAAAAACTACAAGTCAGAAAAGAAAAAAGCATATTCTAAAATTGAAAAGAAAATGAAACAAAAACAGCCTAGCTCTCTATGAAGCTGACAATAGAAGCACACGGAGAGAAGCCTGGCTCCACATGACTTTAGAGCCTAGTGACCAGACATCCTTAGTGGGTCAGACTGTTAAGGGCAAAGAGGAAAGGCAATTTCAATCAGATTTATTGTTAGAAGTAATGGTATTATGATTTCAAAATTTTTAAGTATATTATAGGATAGAGCAGATAAGTATGTTAATGTACCACAAACGTTCAGGCTTAAGAGAAAAAGAGATACAATATAAGCTCAAGTAAACAAATGCTTTGATTTTTACTTAGAAATACCAATATGGGCCAGGCGAGGTGGCTCATGCCTGTAATCCCAGCTCTTTGGGATTACAGATTTGGCGGATCACCTGAGTTCGAGACCAGCCTGGCCAACATGGTAAAACCCCATCTCTACTAAAATACAAAAATTAGCTGGGTGTGGTGGCACATGCCTGTAATCCCAGCTACTCAGGAGGTTGAGACACGAGAATCGCTTGAACCCAGGAGGCAGAGGTTGCAGAGAGCTGTGATCCGGCCACTGCACTCCAGCCTGGGAGACAGAGCAAGACTCCGTCTCAAAAAAAAAAAAAAAAGAAAGAAAGAAAAAAAAAAAGAAATACCAGCATGGATTCATTCTGAAAACATTTCCTAGATCTGTCTACTGAAATGCCCCAGGAGCATGACAAACCCCTAGCATCCACAGCTTGATTTCCAAACGTCATTCCCCATTACAAGAAACCAGGGCGGCTTGGAGAAATGAATCCAGTGTGGGGGCAAGGACACCCATGGTGAACCCAGGACATTCTGCTGTGCTGGAGGCAAGACTGACCGGGCCATGGTGAGGACCTGAGCTAGGAGGAAGGGGCTGTCACACCAGATGAGACAACGTGAATGTCAGAAACAATAATGACTATAAACAACTTCAGTATGCTGAATGAATAGAACTATGAATCTATACATACAAAAATATAAAAATCAAAAGCTAAGGCAGCTGGGGCTGGGAAGCACTGCTTCAGGACTCCCAGCAGCTTTTCGTCCAGGAGGCCCTTTCCTAGGTAGGAGTCGCCACCGTGCAGAGATGCCGTTATGTTCATCCCAGTCATGCTCAAAACAGAAAACTGCAAATAACCTGCACACCTAGTGAAACAGGAGCAGCTACATGAAATGCTATGTATCTGTGTACCTGGAATCCAGCACAGCTGCGATACTGAAATACGCACATGCTTGCTGACAAGGAGACAGGTTTATGACCCTCTGCTGCTGAGTGAAAAGAGCGAGTTCCAGTGACAGCACGTGGAGGGAGCCGCACTTTTGTTTTTAAAATAGGTATGCACGTAAGTAAAAATTATGCCTACAAAGACTCTTATATTCATATACATCAAAATGAACCTTTTAAAAGTGGAATCCTAATTTTTTTCTTTGAGTTTCCAACCACAGAACAGCTTTCTCTGGGAGACATGTGATCCTGGCACTAGAGAATGGAGCAGCAGAGGAGTCCCCGCTGCCCCACCAGCCTAAAAGGCACAGCAGTGAGACAGAATAGCAGTGTCACCCAGTGGACACCACTGGGCCTGCTCGAGCTGACCCTTCCTGGCTTGGGGCCCCAGGAGAGAACAGGACTGAAAATGCACCTCTCCAACGCCCCCATCTCATCCCAACACATGGGGCACAAGGGGCTGGGAAAGGTGTCCTTACCGGCTGCATGGTCCCCCCTGCAATGACCACTGCCCGGCACTCCTTCACCACTTGGGCAAAGTGCACAGCTGGATTCAGGAGCAAAAACTTAAGGGTGCTCTGACTGAGGCTGCCTGGAAAAACAGATCGGTGGGGAGGTGAGTGCAAGCCAACAGACACTTCTATTGTCCCAGCAAAGGGGGTCCCCAGGTGAGTCCAGGTCTGAGGCACAAGTGCTAGTGCTTTCTCTTTAAATTAAACACTATTTAATCTCTAGGACAACCAGCCCACAGAGACGGACCATAGTATCCTCTCCATTTTCTTTTTTTGAGATGGGGTCTCAATCTGTTGTCCAGGCTGGAGTGCAGTGGTGCAGTCTTGGCTCCCTGCAACCTCCGCCTCCTGGGTTCAAATGATTTTCCTGCCTCTGCCTCCCAAGTAGCTGGGACTACAGGTGTCCGGCTAATTTTGTGTATTTTTAGCAGAGATGGGGTTTCGCTGTGTTAGCCAGGATGGTCTCAATCTCCTGACCTCGTGATCCGCCCACCTCAGCCTCCCAAAGTGCTAGGATTACAGGCGTGAGCCACCACGCCCGGCCTATCCTCTCCATTTTCATACAAGGAAACTGAAGTTGAGAAAGAAAACAGTCCAAATCACAAAGCTCATAGATGACAAAACCATGACCCAAACCAAAGCCCATCTGCCCCACAATGCAAGCTTCCCTAGGACCCTTGCCCGAGAGGACTCCCAGCCCGGCCCCTCGATCTCCTCCTGTCCGCCTCCACTGCTTGCCCAGGTCACAGCAGGCCAGTGCCCACTGCACTGCTTCCTCCTAACCCAGAAGTTCCCAGGATGGAAGGAAAGAATCCTTTCACACTGCGGCTCCCTGGCTCAGCGTGGCTCCTTCCTGGGAACTGAACCTGGCCAAGAAGCACCTGATTACCTTGGCGGCTCAGGATGACCCTGCCGTCCTGGTTGGCTGTAGTGAGAGCTGCCAGGAAGCCTTCGATGTGCATCAGTGGGGAAGCTGGTCGCGGGGCGCTAGCCTGACTCTCGTCTGCGGGGGCTGCAGGAGCTGCACAGAGCAGAACGGGGAGGAGGCCTCCTTGCGGTCAGGTCCACACGCAAGGAACGGACGTCCTTGCCCAGGCTTGCAGCTGGCTCTGCTTGCCCACCCCACTGCCTTACCTTCAGTCGTCCTGGGCTGCAGGCTCTGCAGGAATTGCTGAAACCCAGCCAGTTTGGGCTGCTCCCGGGATGAGAGCACTGCTCCATACCGTTCTGTGAATCCAAAGAGCTGGGTGGAATGAGAGAGAGAAGCGGAGAGGAACGAGGAACAGCCGTGAAAGAGAGGCTGGGCGGATCGGAGGCTCTGCCAGGCCCAAGACGCCTGCAGCACACATCCCACCACCCCAGCAAGGCCCACTGCACCAAGGAGGGTGGAGACGAAGGGGACTCCGGAGTTCCCTGAGGGCAGGGGAGGAAAGCATGGCAAGGGCAAGGGGTCGGGGCACAGTTGGGTCATGTTCAGGACCATAAGATGTGAGCAGTTACCTTTCTGCTGATCATGCTCTTCTCACAGTATCGCTGCACCTGCAAAAACCAAGCCCAGCTGTAGGCATGTGTGCAAATTGAGCAAGCTGTAATCTTCAAAACAAAACAAAAAACACACACCACTTTTACCACCCAGGCAGCACAACGCAGTGCTACCTTCTGAGGCACCTGGAGCCTCCCTGCCAGCAACCCTGTCATCCCCTCTCCGAGGCCACCCCCTCCTCTACTGCCCCTGCCCACAGTGCAGTGTCCTCCTTTCGGAAAGGGGAGACCCTCTTTCCAAAAGTGTTTCTCAAGTCTAAGAGTGCTCAGTACAATGTAGGTCCCCTTGGCTTTCCTTCCAGGTGACAGAGTTAAAAAAAGGAACTTCTATGAGCAAAGCCACAGAGGAGGTGATGGCTGGGGCCTGCTCAGGGGCTGGGGCAGTGCCACCAAGTCGGTGCATCCAGTATGTGTAGTTTGGTGCCAGATCTCAGCTGGGGATGCAGAGATGGGGAGTTTGGAGCCTTTACACTGGTTTCTAAAAAGAGCGACATCCTTCGATGAGGATTCCCTTGATGGTGGGTGATGAGACCCATGGGAAGAAGAGGGGAGAAGGAAAGCAAGAGGGGCAGAGGGATGGCGAGGAAGGAGCGCCTGCATCGATGTCCCAGCTGTGGGAGAAGCGCAGGGATGGCAGGACTGTCTGAGGGCTGTCCGGCCTGGCGGCTATCACAGGCATGTGGCAGTGACAGTGACCCAAATGGGTAATTCAAGGGGAAAGCTGGTTTTAAGGAAAAAAACGCAGGCAGGATGGGATGAATGCGGGGCCCCGACTCAATGCAGCCAGGTTTGGACGCTGTCTCTGCCATGCGCTATTGGCTCACTTGGGGGAAGACTGTGCTCGCCACCCTCTTGAAGTCACCTCCCTGGGCCTGTTTGCTTTCCTTGCTGGGGCAAAAGGATATCCTAGCTCAGAGCCACAGCACATGGCATGCCGCCTAGAACACAGGCAGAACCCTGTACCCGGGGACAGTCACTGTTGCTGATCTGAGTTACAAAGTTGGGGTTCAGGCGGCAGTGGCCATGTTCCATGTGGGGAGTGCTGGGTATGCAGACCTGGAGTGAGCAGAGGTCTGAGGCTGCAACCAGACCCAAGGCCCAAGTGGGAAGACGTGATGAGTTGCACAGAACAAATCAACGTCCTGCTCCTGTCCATAAGCCTGAGAGACTGTGCCAGAAGACGGAGCGAGGCGGCGAGGACCTGGAGTCTCTATCTGTTCTATGAGGCACCAAGAAGTCTCTTTCTCACCCATCCCTGTCACCCTCACCCTAAAGGAAGATGACTTTTGCCTCGTAGGCATGCTGTGGGTTAAGGGTTATTACATGCTTATGTTTTGCTTTTTCTTCCTTCTATAGTCTTAACACAGTACTCTACCCACAGTGGTGATAGGAAGGAAACTGGATGTGGAATGTGGAAAGGTGGAAACCTCTACCTTGAACAGGTTGATGTTGTCAATCTGGCTCTGGAAGAGAAAATCGTTGATGGTCTTCAGCTCTGTCCCTGAGAGCAAACACACGAAGGGCCGTGGGAGCTTCACCGTGAGTCTCGGGTTTCAGTCCCAGGGTTAAGCTCGGAAGTGGCTCAGATCAGCTCTGGGCCCTCTGAGGGCAACTCTCTTACCTGTCTGTGAGAGGCTCTGTGTATTGGGATTTTGCTTAATGTTCCCTAAAAAAGAGAATGGAAATTGGTCACAATGGTGGTTCTCTGGCCCCTCAACCTTTCCCTATCTTCTCTCCCTCGGCACTGCACGTCAAGTGAGAAGAGCATCCATACTTGAAGGGCTTTGCTTTGTTTTTCACTATTTATAGCATGCAAAGGACCCACCAAGAGGGCAGGTGGGTCCAGGAGCCTCCCACATCTGACTCACGTGCTTCCACATGGAACCCAAAGCCCTGTAAGTTCATGTTTTTCACCCCTTCTCCAGGAGGCCAGGACACAGTGGCCAGACCAATGCATGCAGGGCACGGGACCACACAGGAGCTGCCCAGGCCACGTGGGGAGCCCGAGGCAAAGCAGAGCTGGCGGCTCAGAGCAGCAGCACGAGACCAGCTCCCGCTAGAAGCTCCCACAGGCTTTCTGCAGCTTCCACTTCCACAGACGCCTTCCAAGGGGGTGCCCCATCATAAAAGAAGGGGACACGACAGGGTCATGCAAAGAGGCATGGGAGCCGGAGTCAGAAGATCACAGGCTCCCGTGCTGGGCTTGGGAACCGTAAGCAGCCCTTGCTCTGAGGTCTAATTTATGCGTCATCAACAAGGATTCAAATGCCAGCACTGCTTTCTCACAGGGCACACAAAACCGCATATGCAAGTGCTTCGAACACCCCACAGCACTATGCCCATCACGGAAACACTGTGTGTTCATATGATGCTGTATCCTTACTATTCCCCAAGAGCAGGGCCTGAAATAGAAAGTCCTCAGAACATGGGCAAAGAACCCAAGGGTCTAAAAAAAGCCCAAGTCAGACAACTCAACTAAGCTACAAAGAACAAGAATTTTCTCAATCAATAACCAAGACCCTTCTTTTTTTTTTTTTTTTTTTTT